TTGCGCTATCGTACACAAACATGACAATTTATATTACATTAAAAAATTTATCTCTCAAAATTTCTCATTTAAGCGCACCTAGCGGCATCTATTGTAAAAAACCGGCCAAGTGCGAGTCGGACTCGCGCACCGAGGGTTCCGTACAAACCTGCAAGGTTTACAAAGTTCGTTCATTACGACAATCGAGTCATAACTATGGTATTTTTATTGCAAAATGAAATTCATAACATTACCATGGGGAAAGATGGAGGAGCATAAATTTAAGACAAAGATCTCTTTATCGTTTAAGTAATCCTTTATTTTATATTAACACATATCATTTATCTATAATATAACTGAAACACTTATACTTACTACTTAGCCTTGCAGCAGACTTGCGAAAGTTCTTTTATTAAAGTTATTTATTTACTAAGTTTTTTAGTCACTATTTAGAAATCTGGTTCAAAAATATTAATTAAGTATTAAATTTGAACCAGACCTGTAAATGGTGACTGAAAAAGTTATGAATAGTACCACATTGAACATTGAAGTTCGAAAAAACGTTATCAATAGTTGTACAACTTCGTGTAGTGCTACTGTTTATTAACGGAAACATGTTTATGGATGAAAAATATGTGGAAATTCCATTTTGGGGATTCATTCTAAAATCTATATTGAAGTCTCCCACAACAATCAGACGAGAAGATGAAGTGTACATATTGAGGTTGCTGCCGAATATTGTTGTATTTATACATTCTATTGCAACATTAACACTTTAAGCAGTTAGGACGCATTTAGATTATACAGCTACATTCACCAAAACATCGGGATTAAATGACGATGAGTGAGGTCGTCTTTGCCGTTTGAAAAATGTTGCCCTCCCCATACATAGTATAATAACTCGCGGTCATTGCTGTAACTACAATTATGTTTACAATCACAATTTTTTTGGTGGTATAACTACTTAAAATTTTAAGCTTTTCGGAATTTTTCTGTTACCTGTCCTGTAAGCTATTGCTTCTTACCAAATTTCGAGATTCTATGTCAACGGGAAGTGGTCTTTAGGTTTTAATTCCCTTGCGTGTAGTTGCGAGTTTCAAAATATGCGGTATCAATGGTTGTACTTTTGCGTTTTGCGTTTTTGCGTTGACTTAGATTTTTTTTTTTCACGGGTTAAAGGCAATTAGATCTAAGTATTTGATATGAATTTCAACTTGATAGCTCTACGCGTTCATGAGGAAAAAAGTAATAAGTTTATATTTATTAAAAAATATATATTTTGTAATGTAACTAAAAATTTAAGGTTTTCGGAATTTTTCCTTTATGTGTGCTATAAAACGTTGCTTCATGCTAAATTTCAAGATTCTAGGTCGACTGGAAGTACCCTTTAGGTTTTGATTCCCTTGCGAGTACTTGCGAGTTTCAAAATATGCAGCTTAAATTGCTGTTTCTTTTGATTGCGTTGACATAGAAGTTTGATTTTGTTACAGCTTAAAGGTATTATAGACCTGAGTATTTGGTATGAATTTCAATTTAATACCTCTATGCGTTTATGAGGAAATGGGTAGTAAGGTTAAAATTATTAAAAAAAAATATATTATGTGATGTAACTAAAAATTTATGGTTTTCGTAATTTTTCCTTTATCTATGCTATAAGACGTTGCTTGGTACCAAATTTCAAGATTCTGAGTTCACGGGAAGCACCCTGTAGGTTTTGATTCCCTTGCAAGTGTCGAAAATTTGCGGCATAAACGGCTGTATCTTTTGATTGCGTTGGCTTAGAAGTTTGATTTTTTCACAGCTTCGAGGGACAGTAGACCTGAGTAATTGATATAAATTTCAGCTTCATACCTCCACGTGTTCCTGAGAAAAAGGGTCTTGACAGACGGACGGACGGACAGACGGACAACAAAGTGATCCTATAAGGGTTCCGTTTTTCCTTTTGAGGTACGGAACCCTAAAAAATGCATTTTCTTCGCAAAAAGCTGCCACCTGGACGTCCTAGATACAGACTTATTATTATAATACGATAAAATAAAATATTACTATGATTTTTCCAATATATTGAAAGTCATCAACCTTTCCAATTTTATTTTTTCGTCTTGCCTGTGATGCGATCAGCCCACGTGTCCTGACGCGAGTTTAACATCTTTTACCCATACAAAAAAAGTGTACAACGCCGCTTAAGAAGTTTTCACTTCAATAATACTGAACGGCTCGAGCAGATAAGGTGACATGTGTACTGAGGTATATTTGAAAAAAGCTGTATGATATGAAAAGCTCGAATTGTACTGCGATCGTGGATGTTAAACAACTTTCGCAGTGGTCGGTTTGTTTTTACCCATACAAAAAAAAGCGTACAACGCCTCTAAAGAAGTTTTCACTTCAAAAATCTAATTAAGGGTCAATAAAAATGGCAAAATGTGGCTTCTACCACCCCTCGCAGCCTACAGCTCAGGGCCCTTTTGCCCCTGGGTTGCTATACAAATATAGTCTTGGTATTATGTCTTATAATTGGGTTGGAGAGAACATTTATTGTTCCTTACGTTTCAACTTTATGGCCAACAACACACGCCACCGCGGCAGCGGGAATCCAAGTTTTTATATGAATGAATGTTAACGTGCATTTCGATAATTCGATTAACTCGAAACTCAATATTTACACCCCAGACCTGAAAAAAAAATGTATGAAGGTTCTTTGAAGCTCTAGCCCTAACAATTCAATATCACTTTTTTTAAATAATCAGCATAACGGGGTGATATCCTATTGGAGGCCCTCGGCATATTAGGATAATGGGGCCCCCCTATGACTTTGATGTGGAGCGAGTCATACTGGTGATTTTTCTTTAAATGTGTATGTAGATAGAATACCATTACATGTATATTTAAATTTATCAAAGCATTCTGAAATCAAAAAGCCTAATTTTTGAGCGAGCTTCGCTTATGTAAAAGCTAGTAATTTGTAAAGTTGGTATTGTGGTCAGTAATTTAGGTTCGATTTCATTATATAAGTTTTTTGGTTATAAATATTGGTTATAGTTTTTATCGTTAGGAACTAGGGACTTTATATTTGATCTGAGGGAGGCCCCTATCGATCGCGGGGCCCTGGGCACTTGCCCAAAATGCCCATTGGAAAAGAGGGGTCTGTGTATAAAATCTTGCTGAAACAACAATATTCAATAAAATGCATTCATATTTAATTATTGCTATTTATTTTCAAAAAATGAAAAAACTGACAAATCTTAGATTAAAAGAGTGACAATATGATCCATATCATTTACCTACCTTTGGAAACAATCGTGTTATATAAGTAATTGCTAAAATAAAAAGAATAAAAAACATAATTCAATAAGTAACAGTAGTAACAGTGAAGCTATGTATTTTTATAATTTTCATAATTTATATATGAAATTTGATTTAAATGCTACACAACAGATTATGATAATTAATAGTTATTATCTTTAAACTTAAAGCAGGCAGCCTGTGGCAACACATAAAGATCTTTATTAACTTAAAAATCTAAAATACTACAACAAATATTTTTACAATCATTATGGTTTGTCCACTGCCAGAGCTTTTTAATATATTATTTTTATTTAATAGGCTATACTTAAATTAAAGAGTTTTAGACTATCATTTGTCAGACTATGAAAAAAACACTAATAATGTAATTCTAGGACTACTATGTCAAGAACCAATGATTCTCTCGATTTACAATAAATATTTAAAAGGTTTTCTTTTGTATCTATGAAACTTTAACAAAACTTTACTTAAAGAGTTTAATACTATTATTTGTCAAACTATTGAAAAAACACAATTAATGTAATTCAAGCCTATTACTTCATTATGACGAGAACCAATTCTCATTAACTTGATTTACAATAAATATTTAAAGGGTTTTGTTATGTATCTGTTATAAGTACAATAAAATAATGCAAATTATTTCAATAATGGTTTGATTTCACAAGCATAACCAAAACCCAAAGAATATTGCTAGTGTTTTTTCTAGATGTGAAAAATATTATATCTTGAACATATATTAAGAATCTGTAATTATCATTTATTAACAATTTATCTTAAATGCTGTCTAATATTAATAATGATAATATTTGTCCAACTTCACAGACAAAATAAATAAAAAATTATATTTAAATAGCACTGTGTATTTCACTAAATATCTTAGCTTTTTAATGACAGTCTTATAAATGATAATTCCTACATTGTAACAAACCATGTCAATTCATAATCAAGATATCTTATGAAATATAAATAAAAGTTAATATGATTCAGAACTCCTATACTTGCATGTTTATGTCAAACAGACTTAGGGCCTGTTTCGCAATCGCTAAGTAAAGTTCTCAATAAGCTACTTAGAACTTATTTGCTCAGTAAACAAGTAGGGATGTTGACTTTGACAGGGCACTTTTGCTTTCTTTTAAACGCTTTTCCAAAACAATTCTATAACACTATTCCTTACTGAGCAGATTAGCTTACTTAGAACTTTATTCAGCGATTGTGAAATAGGCCCTTGGAACATTTATCAACCCATTTAGTGAATCTTAGGTCCCATTGTTTGGTACATAATCAAATGAACGCCACTATTAGTCAATATCATATCAAAGACTAGTAAAATGTATCAAATTTAGATAAATGGTTACTTTTACTAAAATATTTTAACTATAGTCACATTAAACTATGTATCAAAAAACAAGCTCTTAAACTGCATTGTTTTGATACATAGTTAAATTTAATATATCAAAAACATGGTTATTTTTTCCATAATACATAAAACAATAAATCCTGAAGATATTAATAACTTTGCCTTTTTATTACATACTTTTATATAATAATAAACTGTATCAATTATTATTCAATATCTCACTTTTACAAAACAGTATGACATGAGAAAATTTATTTGTATGAAGCATGATTAATACATCGAAGCATAATAAACTTTTGAAATATTTACACAATTATATACAATGTCACAGTCAACACAAATACATTTTCACACTTTAATCTGGGACATACTAATGTTTACCTAAAGGACTTCATTTCACTTCTTTCTTAACATTTACAGTCTTATCTGAAGGTTTGGCAGGTGTTTTAACTGTGGATCATTTTTTCTTTCTATCCTGTGTACACTTCGGACAATACCATTTGCCTTTAGGTTTGATCTTAAGGTCAACACAGGCAAAGTGGAACCATTCTATGGGACAATCAGGGTTATCACAGCCAATCATTTCACCATAAGACACTTGATGACAAAGGCAATATGTTGGCTCATTTGGATCTACAGGCATGTCTAGAACATCACTGGGATGAGCCATCGCTGCAACTGAATCTAAATCGGCATTCTCTTCTTGTTCTTTAGCAGCATTTGCTGCAGCTGTTGCACCCTTTCTCTGAGTCTTTTTCTTAGCTACTGGCCTACCTGAAGCATTAGCATCATCTTCACTGGATGCCCCTGCACGCTTCTTTTTGCCAGTCGTGGCTGTGGCTTTTTCATTACCCTTGTGTTTTTTCCTACCTTTCTTAACTGTGGTGTTATTAGTCTCCTGATCGGCGGCAGCCTGTTGTGCAGCTCTGGCACTCATAACCTTTTCTTGAATTTCGGATTCGAACCTAGCAAGGTCAGAATCTAGACGCCGTATGTGTTTGTCTACCAATTCATATGTTTGAATTGCGAGTTGAACCTTATCATCTCCATATTCCTTTGCTTTGTTGAATAGACCCTGTATAGTGTTCACCTTCTCTTTCTTCGTTTCCTCGTCCATTTTTGGAATATTCGGCAGCAACTCATCGGCCATGAGATCGATTGTCCTCATTAGGCCGTGGGCACGGTCGTCGAGATCTCGCATCAGTTTAAAGTTCCTCTGCAATTCTATTGGTAAATGCTGCAGACTATCAAGATAGTGCTCTAGGTAAAGGGCTGAAGTCATTTTGTAATATTTCGTAACGAATTGAAAAATGAAAGTACAAATGAAATTAAGCGCAACAATTTTACACGGCAATATGTCAATACAAAATTCTAAATCATAACACCACTTTAAATACAAGTTGCAAACTACGGCTTTAATTTAAAGAAAAGGCACTGCTCAGTAAAAAAATCTATTGAAAAGACGCATCTTCTTGATTTTCTCGTCTACGGAAAGCAACAAGTCGGAGTCAGTCGGACCACGGACGACAGATAAACCGGATGAACGAACGAAACCAGCCGAACGATTCGACAGGGTTGCCAAAAGTGATTTTCGAACTTTAGTCCAAGGCTTTAGTCCAGTCAAATTAGAAAGAAAAATAATAGTGAAAAACAAACTCAAATTCCCATCAAGCTGAAATTGAGTTAGAACAATTTGTGTTCAAAACATAATTAAAAATAACATATCAAAATTCCCCATCGTTCCAGTACATGGAACAAAATAAACAAAAAATATTCGATCATCTTGCTGCTAAATGCTAAAAAAAATAAAAATATACTACTGTTAATAGATTATCGATAAAACTCATCAAATTTTGTGACAATAGAAATTAATAATTGTATTATTCTGTTAAAAAAATACCAGTATATGTTCAAAACGTTTGCTAAGATACGACTACGAACTACGACTTACACATGAAATGATAATTCCAAGTTTTTGATTCTTTCTTTTAGCATTCTGGATGAACAGAACACAGCTGAACACGACATTATCATATAATTCTTTATAAATTTTATATCTTCTTCACGCTTAAAGTTATGAATTCTTTTCAATTTATGAAAATACCATACGTCACCGCAAAGACCGCAATGTTGTGAGCATATTACACTCGTAGGCCATAATTTACACCGATACTCAGCATTTTCAAACTTACGTCAACTGCGGCAACTGCTCTTTCACTCGTAGGTACACTCTACAGGTTAGACAAAGATGCATGGGAAACAGTGGGTCCATCATTCAGACTGTCAAACTTCTGGGTCCGTCCATTTGATACTATGTCTATAGGACTACTTGTTCTTTTTGATTAGTGGCAGTGCGGTATGAAGTTCGCGAACGCCGGATATATATTTAGGGTGAAGCACCCAATTGCTAGCACTGTCCCAGTTTATCAGCACCTTGGCGAAAAATTAAAAATATAAGACATTGCTTGTGGTTTATAAGTTTGCCAAGTGTTAAAATAAATAAATCTGTTCTTACATTTTAATACTAGCAACACTGTTCAAAGACATAATTTAAAATGGCGCTAAATCTTTGAGTCAAAGTAAGCAATCTGCAATTTTGAGTGCTTCTCTAGAATTTTTACAATTTGGCGGTAAGGATGTGGTTCAATTTATTGTTGCATTTTAAATGTTTTATGGGTACATTAAATAAATAATAGTGTTTATTGAATTTATATGAACTTTTACTGTATTATTATTCAATATTCATTGAGAGGTTATCAGATATTTTATGTTTATATAGGGTGCCAATAACCGGGTACTGATTTTTTAGATTTCCATATTATCATCACTGGTGCTGAAAATTGGTTAAAATTACTTATAAGTGAATTGATGTTTTGTTTTCACTGTACTTTCAGTTATTGATAAATAAGTATTGATTTTAGTGTAAACAGTGATTACAACATCATTTTCCAAATTTCAGCATGGTGCTGAAAATCCATTCACCATATATCGGCATGTTGCTGACAATTGGTTCTAAGGTATGCTGATAATAGGTTTCACTGAATAAGCACCCTTTATTTTATAGGCTTAAACATGAAACCGAAGAAAACCAGTACGGATAGTCTTAACAAGAATAGGCAAAAATATAAGAGAAAACAATATAGCTCAGAAAATTTAAAAAATGCTTTGGAAGCAGTTCTGAAGGGAATGTCTAAAAAACTAGCTTCTAAAACATTCAGCGTACCAAGGGGAACAATACAATCTCGGCTAAGAAAGAGAACTTGTAAAGACCTTCCAGGGCCCAATCCCATATTGTCTCAGGATGAAGAAGATGAACTGATAAAGTGGATGGAAGACTGCTGCCATAAAGGTTTCCCAAAAAGGAAGATAGACTTACAACTAAGTGTTGCAAATTTCATAAAAAAATCGGGTCGTAAAAACCCTTTTCAAAATGGCATACCGGGTAAAAAGTGGTATATGCTATTTATGCGCCGCCACCCAGAACTGAGTGAAAGAACACCCGAGGCAGTAACAGCTGCTAGTGCCAGTATTTCGGAAAAAGATATTAGAGGTTGGTTTTCAAAAATAGAAAATTTCTTGAGGGAGAACGGTTTTTATGAAATTCTGTTTGATCCAAGTCGCGTTTTCAACGGCGATGAATCGAATTTTCAGCTATGCCCAAAAAGTGGCAAAGTCATTGCTTTACGAGGGGAAAAAGACGTATATGAAGTGGACCATGCTCTTGCAAAATCGGCTTTGACGGTTCTATTTACCTTTGGAGCTAATGGAGACATCACGCCTCCACTAGTGATCTTTCCCAACAAAAGACTTCCAAAAGACATAGCGTTGTCAGTTCCCCGTGAATGGGGCATAGGTTTAAGCGATTCAGGTTGGATGAAAGCAGAACTCTTTTATGACTACATTAAAAACGTTTTCCATCCTTATCTTCTGCAAACACACAGAAAATTTCCTGTAATTTTGTATGTTGATGGTCATAAAACTCATCTTAGCCTTGAAGTCAGTAAGCTATGCAAAAATCTAAGTATTGTGCTTATAGCGCTGTACCCAAATGCCACAAGATTGTTGCAACCAGCTGATGTCGCAGCCTTTAGACCCCTCAAGGTGGCATGGAAAGCTAGTGTGCTGCAATGGAGAAGAGATCACCCGTTAGAGACACTTACAAAAAACAATTTTGTGCCAGTGCTCAAAAACGCATTAGAAAATGGGATACAACCATCCACTGTAATAAACGGTTTTAGAACAACAGGATTGTATCCTTGGAATGCTGATGCTATTAATTATAAAAAATGCTTGGGTAATGTTTCACAAGATAAAACAAACACAAATAATATAGTATCACATACACAATCTAATGACACGGGGAATGTCATGACTAAGGATATTTTCCATAAATTGGTGGGAGAAAAAAACATGCTGAAATTACAAAATATGGCATTGGACAGTCTTTCCGGTAGTGATAAAATCCTAAAAGATATTAACAATTTTTTCAACAATAACCAATATGAAAATATTGCATCATCCAATCAAAAAGCTTTAAAAGAAAACAATCCATCCGAGTATATTAATATCAATAGCTTACCAATATTATTCCTAGACGATAAAACACCAAAAAATGCTGAATTCAACATGATTTATGATAATCCTGAAAATGACGACCAAGACTCTATAGATGATAATGTTTTTTGTGTTGATCTAGAAGCAACTAGTAATTTAGAGAAGAGTTATAAACATCAGAATAAGCAGTACATGACTCCAATCAAAATACAAGATGTCTTGGTTAAACAGAAGACCCCACAAAGAAAATCTGTACGATCTGCAGAAAGAATATCTTTTGTACTAACCTCAGGCGAGTGGCAAAAAAAAGAAGAAGAAAAACATCACGCAAAGAAGCTGAAGGAAGAACAAATAGAAACACGTAAAAAAGCAAGACTCCAGAAAAAAGAACAGAAAAAATATATATTAGAAGTCAATAAAAGAAACACTAGAAATGATCGAAACAGTAAACATAATACAAAAACAATGATTTTAGAAAATAAAAACAAGATATCTGTAAGAAGCGATCAAGAAATTTGTACTCCGCTATTGTTATGTGTCGATCAAGATGACAATGATTCTCAAGTCCAAGAACATGCTATATTGTCCCACATAGTTGAAATTCATGAGAAACCAGCTAAAACATGCCTGTCTGAAAATAATGAAAGCAAATTAAATGATGAGAAAATTTACACTAAATGTAGCAATAAGCAATTCTTAATAGATAAAACTAAAGTGAGCACATTTAAACAGAATTGTACTAAAAAGGAAAAATCTTCTCAAATTGAACCACAGAAAAGTAAAATTGCAAAGAAATCTACGATACCAAAAGAAAAAATAATCAAAGTTCTTTCAGACATTAAAGTCAATTTTAAAATACCAAATCCTGCTAAAATGACACAACACAATACTAAAGATGATGACGTATTTGACAAAATATCAAAAAATACAAATAAAAAAGTTTATTCAATCAAGGAACTGGAAGAGATATTGAATGATAATTAAAGTGACAACGGATAAATAAGGACGTACCAACGTACTATTTCTTAGATAGGTTATAAGTGTTAATGTCTTTGTTAGTATATAAACCTACAAATAGTAATTAACGTTCCTCTTAGAACGCTATCAACTAGACTTTAAGATTTTAAGAAGACTCGCAACTTGATCTCTATTCTTATTCTTTAAGTTATCTGTATTTTTTTTCAAAAGTTTATATTCTAATTTTGAGTGCCTTGAATAGATGTTACAATGGAAATGTTACCAAATTTATTAAAATTGTTATGTTATATTTATTATTATTATATTTAAAACAGTTTTATTTTGTTTCTTCTATACTTTTTCCTGCATAATCTTTTATTTTCAATCTGTTTTATAATTGGTGCTGATAATTGGGCTGCTAAGTGCCATTGATTGGTGATAGAAGTGCTAATAAATGGGAGTGGATTCATTATTCAATAAATCAAATGTTAAACTCAAATACCTGACATCAATGTGAAAGTGTCTTTCAAACAACATTTATAATTATATTTTAAATCTAATTAACATAATAAAAAGTTGTATAGCTTTCTATTAGAATTAAATAATTTTAATTGAAGTTACAATAGCCGTTAAAGTGCTGATAATTGGGTTGATCACCCTATATGTCGTGTTGTGTCGTGACGTAACGCGTCAGTGGGCTATTAATATCATATATTTATTACGGTTAAAGTGAGTAAGGAGACATATTGCGACTCACAAGTAGTTACAATTACTAACGAATTTATTATAAATTTAAAATTATTTATTCAGTCGCGGTACGTAACTCTAGCGCTGAACAAAACACGGAGGGGACAAAGACTTTATATAACACCTAGACTGTACACGAAAAAAAATCGTCAATCTAAAGTAACATTTATATCTGTAGTAATAGGATATTGGTGTCGATTCTAGCATGATTCTCTAAACCTAAACTTAAATTTGACAGCAGTATATCTTTGTCATTCTCTATACAGAATGAAAAGGAGAGACTGATGTTAAATTTAGTTTTAAGTTTAGAGGATCACGCTAGAATTGGCACCATTATATTACTATTATCTTGATAAGCGGTCGCTAGTAAAAACGGTCCTGAGTGAGAAAGCACCCAACGGGAGTGTGTCCCTTTCTAACGTCTTGCCAGCTCAATTTATCATTGGGTTTGGTAGAAATGGTAGAAAATGTCATCCTTTTCTATTTGTGATTTACTGATTAATTACCGATACGAACGATTCGTAAACTATGAAACGTATTTTAAACATTTCTACAGTTCCTATAAATAATAAAATAATCATTGATATTTTTAAAATAAATCTAAATACAGAGTAAAAGTAGTATTTAAATGGTTGAGCCGGGCTGAATGTAAGATGGTGATTTGTCATTGACAATAAATTAAAAAAAAAAGATGGTGATTTGTTCACTTGATCGTTAAATTGATTTACCCGCTTTGATTTGAAATATTGTAAATTTGCTTATTAAAGTGTATTTTTTTAAAATGGTGAACTTGTGTTGTGTAACAGGGTGCTACAATGAATCTTATCCCGGTAGCCCTTTTTCTTTTCACGGGTAAGTAAAACTTACTATCATATTTATTATCTGAACCATGAATTTTGGAGGTAGATGAGTTTTTTTTCTTAACATGAGTTGTGCGAATTTAATGAATCAATTATTAAATAACGCGGTCGCGGTTATTTCCTTGTTTCGTAGGTACTTTTTAGAGCGTTTTTAGATTCGTCGTCTGTCTTTTTTTTGTTTTTATTTTAACTTATCATCACAAATTACTTACATGTTTAGACAGTAGCAGATACTAAACACAATCCTCTTTACAAGCTATATTTAATAACAACTACTATAATACTAATAACAAATTTTGTCCCGCGTTATGCTTGAATATGGTCACCTCATTAGAAAGGAACACACTACCATTGGAAGCCCTCTCGCCCGGACCGTTTTTTACGCGATGGTGCACAGTCTAGGTATTATATAAAGTCTTTGGGAGCCAGTCTTTCGCATCCGCACGACTGGAGAGCCAATCGACTCAACGCACGCCCACCCGCGCACCTCGTTTCCCCCCAAGACATTTTAATTTTTATATCTGCGCAATATGGTTAGCGTTACAGTTTCGTGCGCGACTTGTAAGCTGTTACAAGTTACAAGCTCTTGTGAACGTCAACTCTATGCCAAAATGTAAGAAACCGATACCTGTCAGACAGGTCACGAACACAAGACTACAGATAAATATGTTTCGAGCTTAATTTCAGCCAGATTAAAAAATATTTTACGCTAAAATGATACCTTTTTACTTGACATTGCCTGAAAGCACAAACCGTGCTTTCCACAAAAAAGAGAAAAAAAATGATACCTTTTCAAAAATCCGCCAAAACTTGTATTAGCAAATAAATAGATTATACGAGCTTATTTATAATTTATGTTTATTCATCAAATCTTATGAATATTGCAACAAAATGCATCTCAGTAACATGAAATACAATAAGCATGGTTTGTTATTCACGCTTCTACGAGTACGACTCCCAGCCAGGAGTTTATTCATATTAAATTTTGGGTAGGGTAAACCCTAGGGCCAAAAGGGCCATGGCCCAGGGTTCGCATTTTCATAGTCCTTTGGATTCAGGTCACAGCGAACTTCTATACCAAGTGATGGTATTGCTGCGCTGTAGCGCTAGTTTTGTGCCCTGAAGAGAAGGAACTACGTCATTTTTGCTGTCCCGGTTTTCTTAGCATTGAACTTAAGTTCTTGATGTTTTCCATAAGGAAATGTGGCCTAACACTCCGTTAAGATCAATGGCAAGATTCTATAGTTTCTCCTTGGTTACTAGCTATCCAGTCACTGCATGTACAAAATATCCCGCATGCAATGGATACTCCTAAAGGATTTTTTACATTGATATACAAAATCAAATTATTTAATCGTCTATGACGGCCATTATATTCGATTATTAATAAAATAAAACACAAGATATAGTTAACTTAAATTGTATTAGCAAATAAACAATTTATAAAATACTCTCTTATTACTCATGACATTAAAGTCCATATTGGGTGCATTTTATCCTTTCTAGTAATTAAAACGTGATTTATTATTCATAGAGTTTTGCTCCACTGTTGTTAATATTAGTGGCATAGGTAAGGCAAAATAATAAATCACATTAAAATTAGCAAGTGATGTCATTTCGAGGACTCTATTAGCAAATACAACAACTTAGCTTTTCATTTAATCAATATTTAAAATTATAAACATTTAAGAAAAAATGCAAATAAATAATCAGCTTTTTGCCTTAAAAGGGCAAAACAAAGAGGCATTTACGTAATCTACATAATATAAAACATGCTTTACTCATTCCCTTACAGCTATAATTTACACTTTTACTAAATACTAATCATGTTCATATTACCATACGTACTTTATAAGACTATGCTACATTCATTCAAATTATACATACACTTTCAGATAGATATAAAAATTTCGGAACTATAATTCAAGATTTTTTCTGAAACTACTAATGAAACTGTTATTGATAAAATAAAGTCGCTCTTGCTGCACTTTACAAAATAGCTATAGTGTATGTATTTTTCAATATTTATATAAAAATCATGATTTAACTTTTCAATTACTTAACAAAAATAAGAAATGAAACTGGATCACTTAAAAAATGTGATCTACTAATAAATAATAATTCATGATTTGCGTTTAATAATCATATTTCACAATTTTAATTTGTTCGCATCATATGCCATAGTTTGTAGTAAAAATGAACTAAAATTATCCATTGGCTCAATTACTTATGTGACTTTTATCAAAATTCAATATAACAAAAAATTGGCAGGATAAATTTATTTTAGCATAAAATACATTGTTTAAAAATAAACCATTTATGTATTGGTAAACATTTGTAAAAAATGTTTGAGATAAGTTTCAATAAGAATGTTTTCACATTCAAATAATAATAAAAAAAAAACAAAACAAAATGCACATCATCATCAATAAAAGTATTAAAAAGGTTTGAATACTTATTCCCTACCTAGGTACATTACATAATTATTAAGACAATTTGGTACATATTCGTTGCTCTTTTACAATTCAACATAATATTATTTGATAACAGATGAGATGAGAGTTGACGAGCAACAAAATATTTTGGAATGCATATAAATAATGTAAGTAAGAAATGGGGAGAAATTATATAGCTTTGCATTTCTTTAATCAGTCAGTTGATTTAAACATCAATCATTTGAAACTTCCAAATAGAAATAAAAAGAAATCGTTTAGCCATTCCTATGGTTATCAAATTTTTGGAAAATTTGTTGGTCTTTACATTTTTGTAGTCTCAAAATTATTGCTCGTTTCGAAATAAGCAAAAATTTTAAAGATGCTCAGCTTCCTTTCGTTACAAGAAAGGTTACAAGTTAATTTGTTAAGATAATTATATTTTTAACTACCAGAATGAGTACAAAATTTTTATTATATAAAATGGAAGCTATCGGTATTTGTAATATAATTATGTATTTTGATGAAACTATACATGATGATTACTAGTTGGCACTACAAATGGAGGTCACATTCATTATGAAATTACAAAATTGTATTCAAAAGCATATTAGACTATTATTGTTTCCTTAATGTATTGACAGAATGAAATATTGATGAGAACAGAAAGATTTCGTAGAGTATTATTTTGCATCAACATTTGTCCGATTTCGGACAAATAGATTGGGACCTAATTTATAAAGTAATTCATAAACAGAATATGTTACACAATCTCAAAACATAACTTTCACAACCACTAAACTTCAAACAGCTTCTATGATTTTCGTGAAATATATTCAACAAGCAAAGCACCATTAATGTAGGTTGTGCTTTGTTTAGGAAGTCAATGCTGCGATGCAGTCAACTCTGTAGATTGTAAATGTATTTTTCATCACATAATATGAACAAAAAGAAAACTAAGACGGCAACATTATACAATTCATTCATAAAAACGACGAAGGGAAGAATTCAGAAACTACACCTAACATAACTTGTCATCACTAATATTTACTTCGTACAGATATATATTTTTGGTTTAAAAAGATATATATATATCCATCACTTTTAAATTCAATCCCGCTTCGCACTAGACTAGCCTTCTTCATAAGCTTACATCCCCTTACTAAATAGATACGATTGTTACATAAAATTGAATTGTTACACCACACTGATTATGTGTATGCACTATAAATTACTACAGAATCATATTCCATGCACCGCACCATAATACTGACCTGCATAACTGGGCCTACCTGTTCAAGTATTCAAGCACACAGACCAAGACCTGGGTCTGTAGCGTTACCTATTCGTGCATGGAATACAAAGACGGAGGTATTGGGTATATTACACGAGCGTTTCGTACTTATCAAGCACGTGCGCTTGGTTGTTGTCGTCGCCGTGAGAGCGAGACCGGGGTCGCGCGCTTGTATCGCTTGCTCCGGCGCTTTTAGCTCGCGTCTTCTTATCATGGCCACACGTGCAAGCTACCGAAGTCTGACGCTTCAAGGTCTGCGATCGAGCACCAGCCCATTGGGGGTCCAAGGATTCGCTCCTGGCGTACATCTGCCGTTTGGTCCTTCCCATAGTCGCGTGAGTGAACGATGCCCCTTGCCCGCTATCAGAGGACGGTCGCATCGATTCACTCCTCATGCAAATATTGCCACCCGCGCGCCTAAACGAATCCAGCACCCTTTCTTCGATCTCCTCGATATCCTTCTTCTTTACTAGCCATATCTCCTCGGAACCCCTCGTGAAATAACTTGAGCCCTTGCTGACGGAGTACTTTTCTTTGTTCTTCAATTTGCATGCCTTCAAGTTATTCTGAGCGGTCACATCATCGCTGGACTTATGAACGGTGGCGCGTGCCGGATCAGGAGATGCGACGTTCCGGAACGCGGTGCCGTGCGACGGGAACTGGTCCGGCAGTTTGGTGCCTAAGCTGGGCGATCTGATGGTCACTTCGACGGGCGATACGATCGGCTTGAATTCCGGCTTGATGATCTTCTGCGGCTCAGGTTTGACTTTGTCCACTTCGTTGCTGTCGCTCTTTTGCCATTTCAAGTTGGAGTTGCTGTTTTTGGTTAAGCTTTGTTGCCTTTCCAGTATTGTGACTGCTTTCTCTACTGGACTGGCCGTGGCGGTTGACAGATCGAAATGAACGTTGTCTTTGAAAGGCGTGGCTGGCGGTGGTAAATCCTCCTTGCTATCGGAGCCCAGTCGTTCGGTACGCGAGCGGCTTCGAACCGATCCCGGCCTTGACATCCGCCCCAAAGTGGCGCTAGCATCTTCTGCGGCCTTCTCGAACTTCTTAATCTTATCCCCCACCCCGTTAGATTCCTCGCTCAAGGTGATCTTTTCTTTTTTCGCTTCCAACTCTTCTGTATCATTTTCACCAGCCGCTTTTTCCACTTGATTATTCACTACGGGGGCTAACTTTTCATTCCTGATGGGCACCTGTTTCGTTACCGCCGCATCTTTAACCATCGCTTTCGTGTTCACTCTGTTTTCATCGCCTTTCGAATCCGTTCGGTTTTTTTTGAAAGCTGAAACCGGGGTTGAAGCGATTTCCGTGGAATCTTTCTGGGGTTGCTGCTCCGTTTTTATAGAATCCTGTCGCTTCGGGGGAGAGGGGTATTCCTTTTTGCGCGGCATCGATTCTCGCTGAGGAGGTGAGACGACTTCCTTCTTTTGCATATTCAAAGGGGGGGATTCGGTTTTCGGAGGACTCAAAGTCTCTTTATTCGGAGCTTCCTTCGATGGCGGAGGTGAAGGTGCATCGAAAGATTCTCTGGGCGCACGAAAAGAGTTCTGAGGTTGATTCCGCAGCAGATCTGGCACGTTTCTCGGCGGGGATTGCTTTATAGACACCGTTTGTGTTGTTGTTTTGAAGGTGAAGGGTATATTTTTAGGTGGAGAGGATTCGATATCGATTTGGGTTTGAGAGGTTTTGAAGGTGGATGGGAGAATGTTTGCTTGAGAAGTTTCAAAGGTCAAAGTTTTTTTGGGCGGGGAGCTTTCGTGGGGGATTTTTTGGGGGGAGGGTTTGGGCTCTGGGTCGGGGGGAGGGTCGGGCGGTCGGTGGACGGCGCGACGTCACGCACGGGACTCGGTCCACTGGTCGGAGTCGTCGGAGTCGGAATCGGCGCCGGAACTTGTGTCGCTGAGCTCGACGGCGACTCGCCGGGCGAGTATAGAAGCTACGTCGTGGAAGGCGGGCGCGCCGCGTAACGTGTCGTAGCGTCCGGTGGTGTCGTCGCAACGCTTCTCGACTTTGCGCAGTTTTATGCCTGAGGGGAGAGGTGGTATGGTTAGTTGGACGTTTGAAGGTACTATGGTTCGATGCAATTAATGGCCAAATTCAATAATCAATCTCCAGTAAAATGTAAGGATAATCTGGTTAGGTTTCTTAGCAACGGATGTAATTATAGTCATAATTTATTATTAGCCTAGCAACAAAGCTCGAGTAGGTCTAGCTCTTACTGGAGTCTGATTATTTAAACTGGCCGCAAAATAATTTAACTGGGTTGGTTCGCAATTAAAGTGTGAAGTAAAGTAGTATTTAAGAGTAAATGCCTGACGTATTAAGTCTTCTTTTAAATAGATTCAGGAATTATTATTTCTATCCAGAACAGCGAACAAACAAAATATTTATTTATGGACAGATTGAAAGTCCATTTTATCAAAAATACTTGTAAAACCTTGTGTTGAGCTTTATAAACATTTAGATTGAAAAAAAAGAAAGCAATAATTCTGTGAAGTTTTGAATCATATAAAAACAAAACACTTTTTTTAGAGGATTTGGACAAATTATTTTTCAGAGCACGCAGTCCGATGGCACCCCTTTTGAAAGGAGCGATAAGCAGCTTCCTTCACAGCATGATATAGACAAAACAGCATATCACGATCAGTTATCAAATTACTACGGTGTTTGACAGTTAGACGCGATAAAATATGTGATATAATGCATATTGTGCTGGTTATGCTACGGGAACTGTATTGGCAGACTACTGGTCGCCGTACGGCAGCGGTTCATGATCTGATCTCACCCAGGCGGATGGCCTTCAGTAGGTCGGGCTGCGGGTCTGTTTGAGGACGGAGGCGCCGCGGACCAGAGCCCCCGGTGCAGGCAGTGTGGATGGCAGCCTACTTGTCTCCGTCTAACAGAGGTACAACAGATCTCACCCAGGCGGATGGCCTTCAGTAGGTCGGTGCGCGGGTCGGGCTGCGGGTCGGCGGCGGGGCGCGGCGGTTTGAGGGCGGAGGCACCGCGGGCCAGGGCTCCCGGGGACGGAGGCCGGGGCCGGTCCTCCCCCGCCCCTGCCCCTACCGTCACCCCCGCCCCGGTCACGTCCGCGGGAGGGGGCGGCGCGGGGGGAGCGGGCGGCGCGGGAGGGGGAGGGGGCGGTGATACCCCGCCTTCTTCCGATGACATCATACCTAATGCAAGAATATTATATCATTAGTATTCCGAGCATTGAATGACGTATAAAAACAAGAAGGTAGAGCGACGATATTAAATACCCTACATACACCACATGTGCTCAAAATGTGTCACAATCAAGAAGTGCTTGAGCTCCACTCAAGCAAGTCAGGCGCGGACCGCGAAATATGCGAAAAAAATACGTTAAGTGTTTGTTGTTACAGAATACTACAGTAAAATAACACTACCTTTTTGTTGTGTTGTTTCTGTCGGTAAGAATTGTTCTAGGGCTCCATGGAGTTGGGGATCTTTATTCCCCGGCGCCCCCGCGGGGATGAATACAAATTATAATTATTATTATCTTACATTTTTAGTAACTGTAACACTGCGACCTAGAAGATCTATTGTGATTCGCCACCAAGTTAAAGTATCACTTCGAAGCTTAGAACGATTCTAGCTTATAGAGATTTGATTTCCTCTGGGCGTTTATAAGTAGCCCCAAATTAATACAACGTTTTTGGATAAGAGGCCCACATTCACATAGAAGGTGTTTTGATGTTTCACGCTCCTGGTTGCAGTATCTACAAACATCAGTGTCGCTTATTTTCATATGAAATTAGTTTCTGTTGAGTTTGCAGAGTCCAGTTAAGGCTCTTATAATAGCACGTGTGTTCGGCCTGCTAAGTTCTATTAACTCAAAAGTCCGTTTTTTCGAGTAACCTTCTATTAGAATTCTCAGTTTTTTTTCCCTAGATTAATAATATACTCAAGTAATGATTTCATTCCCATTTGTCTCCGGCAGCAATCTACCCGGGGCAATTGGGAATAATTCGTAGGGGATTGGTCGGGCTCGGCAGCGGCGCGAGTGATAGTTTTTGTACACAAGCGTTTATAGGTTATGGTGGCCTCTTACCATCAGGTGAGCCATATACTTTACCCATTTAACATAAAAAATAAAACACAGAATTCGAACAATCATTCAGTGGGGATTCCCACGAGCGGCGCTTTACAAGTTATGTAAGTTTCAATTTTTATTTTTTTTAAAGCATGTATGTATAAGCTGCTTGATGTTTAAATCTAAAGAAAATATAACTAGAAAAAATCCCACGCGGTTATGTATGTTTCGTTTTGGGTCTGTATTTGTTTTCGCCATTGCCTATTATACTTTCAGAAATTGATTAGCCACATAAAAAAAAGTGTGAAAACTTTTGGCTAGTAGTGGATCAAATTAGATACCACGTATATTTATACAAATAACAGCTGTAAGTTTTCCGAAGAAAACTAATGAATATGATTAACTCACCAATAACAGCATGCATGTGGTCTAAGTGCGCGTCTAGCGCAGTGCGGTGCGGGGGCGAGGCGCCGTTCATCATCGGCGGGGGCGAGCCCTCCGGGGGCGGCGGGGGAGGGGGCAGGGACGACCTGGAGACGAGTCGACATTTATTTATTTATCTTAACAAAGTTCCTACAGCGGTTTTTTGTGGATTTAATACAATAAAATATAAAAACAATCTTAAGGCCAATTACAGAAACTCATTACGTACACATTAGATACTAACGGCGTCACTATATGTCAGTACTTATTACATTTTAAAATTTACTAATTTAGATGAGATTTATTCATAACACTATATGACTTCAAAATCATATCGACAGATAATATGGAGAGCTTTCGTCATCATCAGGAGGCTATTACTAAACGTCCACACTGCCGAAGCACAGGCCTATGGATGAAATTGGTACATTCGGCCCCAGTGAAGATAGGTGGATACTAACGATTGCAGATGCAGCCTGGACCAACGGCTTAATGTGCCTTGTACAGCAGGGAGAAGGTCGAGATAGTAAATTTTTGATCACCCATCCAATGACCGGACATAACGAAAATTGTTTAACTTCCACAATCGAGGTGTGCCCGCGATGCTGCTCCCCCATATCGGGCCCGACGCCGTGCCGTGAGGACTGCGCTGTGGGGCTGTGTGTACAGCACGCACCTGGTGGGCGTGAGAGAAGGCGCGGCGTGGGCGGGCGGCGAGGTATGCCAGCGATGCTGCTCCCCCATATCGGCCCCAACGCCGTGCCGTGAGGACTGTGCTGTGGGGCTGTGTTTACGGCACGCACCTGGTGGGCGTGAGAGGGCACGGCGTGGGCGGGCGGCGAGGTATGTCAGCGATGCTGCTCCCCCGTAAAGGCCCCGACGCAGTGCCGTGAGGACTGTGCTGTGGGGCTGTGTACAGTACGCACCTGGTGGGCGTGAGGGAAGGCGCGGCATGGGCGGGCGGCGTGGGCGGGCGGCGAGGTATGCCAGCGTTGCTGCTCCCCCGTAAAGGCCCCGACGCCGTGCCGTGAGGACTGTGCTGTGAGGCTGTGTACAGTACGCACCTGGTGGGCGTGAGGGACGGCGCGGCGTGGGCGGGCGGCGAGGTATGCCAGCAATGCTGCTCCCCCGTAAAGGCCCCGACGCCGTGCCGTGAGGACTGTGCTGTGGGGCTGTGTACAGTACGCACCTGGTGGGCGTGAGGGAGGGCGCTGCGTGGGCGGGCGGCAGGGGCGCGGGCGGGGCGGGCGGCGGAATGGAGGGGCGCGCGCGGCGAGGCGTGCCCGCGATGCTGCCCCCGTATATCGGCTCCGGCGCCGTACCGTAGGGACTTTCCTCGGGAACTACAAAGAAACGACATAATATTAAAAGTACCTCCATACACGACTTCACTCCCACCCGGTAAAAAGAATATAATTCAAATATGGGCTTAAGTGGTGCACTTTAGATATACATTGCCAATCATATTAGCATACAGCTCGCTGTCAGCGAGCTTACCGCCGTGAGACTGATTGGTGTTTAGCACCTCGCTTGCCACTCGTAACAAGCAAACGGGCTGCTCGGTGTCTGGAGTAGGCCATTCGCACGCATTATCTACCAAGCAATTCGTTAGCAGCTTGCTGTCGCCGCGTGGACAGCTGGGTGCCTGCTAGTTGTCGCCGCGTAGACTATCAGCAGTTGCTTTAATTTATAGCGGTGTTAGATGGGAACGGTGTCGGAGAAAAGACATTTAAGTAGTGGCCTACTTACACATCTTTTCTCCAGACCTTCTAAATTTACTGTAAATGCATTTTTACAATCGTCGGTCAGTGGTGATGACCAGGACGCACACTTGGTCGTAAGCCTGTATTCGGTTACACGAAAGACATAACTCGAATTCGGGCACCCGAAGCAATATTTACACTGGAATACGGGCTAAAAGACGGTGTCGGGGGACCAAAACGAAAACTACCCGAATACGAGCGTAGTCGACTCCGTTCATTTACACTTAGTCGTTTAGCCGTCATTGGCACTCGTATTGGGGCTAACGACCAAGTGTAATTGCGTCGTAACGGATCGTTTGTCCGAGCGCTTTCAACAGACACTATTAAACTTTCAAAACTATGTGAACACAGTGCTACACAAATAACGTTGTCACTTGTAAAGTGAAAAAAACAAGAATCTCACCATGTCCATTCCCTGTAAGTCGCGGTTGTCGGATTTGTTGTTTCTCGATTTCGATTGAGTTGGGTCTCGCAGGCTGCGTCGAAGGCGGTCGATTTTGTGGTGTTTTGTAATTTCCATCTGGCACGCTTGTATCTAGAACAAAGTCACGACATTTCAACTTCACAACACAGTCTTCGCACAACTTTTACGTGAACTTGGTGAATTAATTTTTATTGATATCGTTAGTGTTCAATACAGATCGCGACAAGCATATCGTGTTTTAGCATTTTGGTTTATTTGGACACATCAATAAAGAGTAGGAATAAAGCCTGGTTTGTTTACAATTCGATTAGATTTTTGTGTCTTTTAAATATAAGCGCTTTTTGAGCGCGACTCGTTGCAGGCAAAGCTCAGGCACAGTGACACACATATGTAGACGGGGTCGGGCTTGTTGTGTGACACGTGCTCGTCCAGGTGCTTGAGCTGCGCAACGGGGGAGGGGGTCGGGGGGGGGGGGGGGGGGGGGCACAGTGACTCACATATGTAGACGGGGTCGGGCTTGTTGTGCGCGACGTGCTCGTCCAGGTGCTTGAGCTGCGCGAATGGGAAGGGGGGCACAGTGACTCACATATGTAGACGGGGTCGGGCTTGTTGTGCGCGACGTGCTCGTCCAGGTGCTTGAGCTGCGCGAATGGGGAGGGGGGCACAGTGACTCACATATGTAGACGGGGTCGGGCTTGTTGTGCGCGACGTGCTCGTCCAGGTGCTTGAGCTGCGCGAATGGGGAGGGGGGCACAGTGACTCACATATGTAGACGGGGTCGGGCTTGTTGTGCGCGACGTGCTCGTCCAGGTGCTTGAGCTGCGCGAATGGGGAGGGGGGCACAGTGACTCACATATGTAGACGGGGTCGGGCTTGTTGTGCGCGACGTGCTCGTCCAGGTGCTTGAGCTGCGCGAATGGGGAGGGGGGCACAGTGACTCACATATGTAGACGGGGTCGGGCTTGTTGTGCGCGACGTGCTCGTCCAGGTGCTTGAGCTGCGCGAATGGGGAGGGGGGCACAGTGACTCACATATGTAGACGGGGTCGGGCTTGTTGTGCGCGACGTGCTCGTCCAGGTGCTTGAGCTGCGCGAATGGGGAGGGGGGCACAGTGACTCACATATGTAGACGGGGTCGGGCTTGTTGTGCGCGACGTGCTCGTCCAGGTGCTTGAGCTGCGCGAATGGGGAGGGGGGCACAGTGACTCACATATGTAGACGGGGTCGGGCTTGTTGTGCGCGACGTGCTCGTCCAGGTGCTTGAGCTGCGCGAATGGGGAGGGGGGCACAGTGACTCACATATGTAGACGGGGTCGGGCTTGTTGTGCGCGACGTGCTCGTCCAGGTGCTTGAGCTGCGCGAATGGGGAGGGGGGCACAGTGACTCACATATGTAGACGGGGTCGGGCTTGTTGTGCGCGACGTGCTCGTCCAGGTGCTTGAGCTGCGCGGTGGGCATGATGTGCTCGCCGCGCGTCACGGCCGCGGCCTTTTGCCGCTCGCGCGTAGAGTGCGGCGCGCGTATTCGCCGCGTGCCGCGTCCTTCCGCGCCGCTGCCGCTCCGTGGCGCTCGTACCTGACAAAAATCATCCGATTACCGATAAAAATTCATCGTCGAACTATTGGACACATACCGATAAGGAAAACAAACTAAACGCACCATAGAAAGATACATTTGAGAACATTAGCTTTTTAAACACTACATTTTTAAAGATTTTCTCACGTTGCAACCGTGACCCGGAACTCATTTAATTAGTGAAGCGAGGATAAACGTTCTTAGCGAGCGTGATAAAATACCATTTTATGCCGGCACTTCCGAAGAACCGGCATTAGACAAAACTTCTTCCCCTATCATGCTGGATCCTAATAATAATAATTTATATCCAATTTCTGTTACAATTAGGATACAGGTAGTATAGAGATAACACCAGTAAAACGATTCCCTGACCCCTTTACTAGGACTCCTGTGTATGCGATGTCCTGCCTTCGCCATAACTCTAAGAAGTAATCAGGCTCCGTGAAGAACTTCTTCGTGTCATGGTCGTAATCTAAAAGAGCGTGGTAAACACTAATGAACACAATATACTAACATGAGTCTGTATAGAACTTTCTCGCGTCGCGGTCGTCGTCTCGGAACTCGTTGAGTAGCTCGAACAGCAGCGACGGACCTAGACAAACGTGTAAAATAGAAATAGATACAGCAGACTAACCTTCTTCCCCCTATCATGCTGGATCCTCTCAGTATCTTGCAGCATCTCTCGTCGCCACAGCTCGAAGAAGTAATCTGGATCGGTATAGAACTTTCGCGCGTCGCGACCATCGTCTCGGAACTCGTTGAGTCGCTCGAGCGGCGGCGGTCGATCGCAACGAGCGTAGGTAGCGAGCATCGCAGACGGCATCGAGTTTCTCGAGAATAGCTGCTGCTGGAACGCCCGCGACGAGCGGAACGCTTTCCGCATTTGTATGTCTTGGAGCGACACTGCGAAAAATGTTCAAGCGGTTTTGAGACATATCGAAAGAACTCTTATAAATAAACTATAGTAAAACATTATAAAGTGCTCTACTTTTAATACTGCGTCAAAGTAAAAAAACTTCCATTTAAAAAGATTTTTCAAATCGGATGTTTTTGGGCGATCTGTCGGGTATGAGAGTTTATTTACTAATTTATAAAATGCTATTTAACATCAGGGGAACAATCGCCTAACCAGATTGCTATGGAAAACGCTTTCGCTTACGATTTCATTTTGTTATTTCTAGCCACCTGAGGTTTTCAAAAGCCTCGCGCTCTTTTTTTTCTTTTGCATTGTTAATAACAATATTAAAGAAAATGAGCGTGAGGTATTTAAAAACCTTCGACGGGCAGAAATAACAAAATGAAATCGTAAGCGATAGCGTTTTCCAAAGCAATCCCGTTAGGCGAATGGCCGCCGGGACCGCCATGTCAAGTATCATATATCATGTTGTCTATTGAGACAAAACACATAATATTGACAATAAAATATGGATAACAAATAACATTCTTAATTTATTTTTTTTCGTTTTAATTTCAAGATTTTCAGGAGTGAATCTTAAATACTAACCTTCCTCTACCCCTGAGTCAAGCTGTGTGACCTTGATGGCTAGCCGATCTATCCTCGCCTGCAGCACATTCGTTCGTTCCGCCAGGTTGGTGGCTTCCCGTGTTAACTCTCCGAACATATCCTCCGCATGTTTGGAAAGTGAAGATAGCTGCCTGCAAGGGAATACAGAATCATTCACACATGGTATTTTTTGTTGCAGATATTACAGTAGCTGGAAACTCGGTAGGCAATATCGATTTATTAGGTGAACTGATTGCGAGTATTAAAACTCGATAATGATCTTAACTATGTTTTGTCATTCGTGTGAAAACAAGGTCTCATGAATGGATATGAATTGAGCGGTGCGAAACAGAGAGCGACTTGCTTACTTCATAAATGCCAGCTGGTCGCTTTATTCTTAACACTCAATTATAGGACATATGGGGAAGAGTGGTTTCTTAAAAAATCAATTTAGCACACATGGCAAAAGTAAAATCTGACAAATGTTCCAGCTACAAACCTGACGGTATGGGCGAGAGTTCCATTGGTAACCGCCTCTAGTTCGGAGGGGACAGCGAGCCGCTCGGGCACCGTGCCCCGCGACACGTGCACCGGCTCCACGCAGCGCTTCGGCAGCGGCATGGCTGCTCACGCCGCGGCTACCGGCTCTGCATTACTGGAACAAACGCAATGCTTTCTCATCATCATCAGCCACTGGGGGAGCGAGAAGAAGGTATCTGCGGACTCCTCTCTGCCTTCTTCGCCCAGCGTAGTACGATCGGCGACGCGGAATAGGGCCCTACTCGGTAAAAACAAGACAATACTCCTGAACCGGTCATCCGGCACACATTCTGAGAACCGAGGTCCCCCTAATGTATGTCCTTTCGGCATGCAGACGTAGTCGAGGAAACCGTCTCCGACTGGCCGCGCACCCGCAAGGTGATTGTCCGCGGCGGACCCACCCCGATGAGGATGGCCGGAGCATTAGGGTCATCATCATCAACCTGATAACGTCTTCACTATTAGGATACAGGCCCTATATGGAATTGGGAGATTAGTGGAGATTGGTGCATTGCAGGGTGCTTACAAAAGCAGCTTGGACCAACAGCTTAACGACCCTTCCAAAGCACATAGATAATACATTTTTGGTTTGTCCAGCCATTGCCAAAGTTGCTTAACTTCCACTACCGAGCTAACCACTTCCGCCATCGAGCTCCTCAACGGTTTATTTAAAATGAAATGAGGAACTATACAGCGAGTTACTGTGGCGCTCGAGAACCTTAAGGTGCCATAAGTAATTGGCTAACTTACTGGAAGATATTTAAAGGAGCTTTAGGAATCTGTACAAAAGATCACAGTAAAATAACACTATCTAGTGGTAATTCGTGTTTCTGTCGATGGTCAACTATATTCGCCACTGAACTCCCGTGCTTGGGACGGGATAGTATTTATGTTATAGCTTACAAACATCATCACAGTCATAATATTTGTTTATTGCTATAAGTTGGTTAAAATAGTCTTGAGATCTATAAAATGAAATAATAAGGAATTTTTTCCAACATTAATTTTGGCTGTCCGATGCCTGAAGCCCAAGCACTAATTTTGACAGCTCCGTGATCGTATCGTCATCGTAATTTTTTGTATGGAAGGAGCCAGTTTGTTGTTGTTTGGTAGGGGCGCGCTTAGTTTTCATAGAAACTACGATGCGATACGATACGTCAAAATTTCGTTCTTAGCCTTTGTTAGCAATCTTATTGTGAGATAGATAGGGAAAATTCTAATAAACGAATATTAAAAGAAAATTTTCAGAAACCACAAGGCAATAAATTTATCTTTGAAACGGGGATTTGTTACATGAAATAAAATTCAAAATCAAAATCCCCTTTGGCAGTCGCTTCTTAATACAGTTTATCAATATCCCTTTCCGCTTCAGTGATTCATTGTCCCGTGTGGTTTCGGATACATTTTGGGAGTTCATGACATGAATCATGGACGCGATTTGAATGCGTTCGAACGAATGAACATGTGCAAACGATATACACTGTCGAAATTTAATATACTGATCGAAAAATGTAGGTAACGATAATAATATTTATTTATACTCCTTTTTCTTAAAAAATAGGTTAACTGCAACGCAATCCGTTAAACAGCATCATACAAAGATTAACAAAAACAACTATATTAAAGTGTGAGAAACTGGTCTCTGTCTTAGCATTAAAAGCCTATATATAGTACAGCCAGCCAATTTACTAACTTTTTTGACATTTACATTGTGAACTAAAGAGAAAATTGCATGTCCATCGATGATTTTCAGAACAAGTATCTTAGTGGCGTTATAATAAAGCAATGGTCGATCACTAAATAGCTCGGTGATTATCATTTCCATCTGTCAAACGCAGTTAGCGAATAGACCTTCAGGTCGCCAGGCCCCCACAGAAATATCTTACCTTGACTTGACTAAAACTTTATTTTTAAGATAACATTACAAGTTGAAGTTTATATGCACTAGAGCAGTTAAACTAGTTCATATGGAAAGTTGCAAGATAAAAACTAAACCTAAGCTATGAACAGATAGACTACGAAATCTGTGCGCACGGGCAAGATTCCTTTCGCCCGATACGGTTCGCGGGTTACGAGTCGGCGAGTTTTTCCGCGTTTTCTCCACCTTCCGTCACCTTTTCCTACAAAATGCGTAATTGTTGTTCATTAAAAGGATTAGCGCGTGACGGGCGCCACGCGTGAATACACAAACGGTTGGGCGTTTCGTTCCGTTTAATGTAACCGTTTACGACATACAGAGTGTATGCGGACACGCTTATATCCGACTATGTTGACATGTGGCTAATATTTTTAATTTAATGTGTATGTGTGTGATATATATGTACTTCATAAAAATAGAATTTAAAATACATACTCGAGCAAGTACATAAATAATTATACGCTATCAAAGAGTAGCGGTACAACATAAAACATACGACACCGCGAGACTGATATTCATAATTGTATGTTTAAGCAAAACTTCATTAAATCTAGAAGTCGGTGTTTGTAGACTTGCGTATTTGTTTTATGAATTATTTTTTTAAAATATAAATGAGATCACATTTTCATACTTTTATAAATGGCAACTGAAATAAATTCCTCTTATCATTGAGACTTAGATAACATTACAACGATTACCAGTAAGAGCTGGCCTCTCTAAGTAATCAGATTATAAGTACATTATGTACATCAACAGAATTGATAAAGATAAGTCAACCCTGTTTAACCGATAATGAAGTAACTTCGCTTAATTTGGCTATACGACATAAACATTAATAGCAGAAGGCATTCACATTCATACGACTTTATTTTATTTTCCTAAGTTACCTGCCCTCGCTTCGTTATAATAATTTAATTACATGAAAACGTTCCGTAAATAAATAGCTGACTGACAGTGAAAACTGTATGATAATACGTTCAGACGTTCAGAGACGACGTGGCCAAGAATTTGTTTAACACGATTTTTATGTAAGCCATTAAACAATTCAAGATTACAATTTAATTTAAAGTAGCTGCCTAAAGTAATAGCCTAACAATGGCATCGAGCATCTAGTAAAGTCATTAGAGTTAGTAGTTAAGATATGAAAGTCAAATAATGTAACATTAACGAATACCAGTCGCTTGAATATGTTCGTAATACGCGCTATGACAGCCAAGTTTACCTTCGCTGTACTTCTATGGTCTGGTACTTTATCCACCAGCTTTAAAAACCTATTCGCACTTTGATGTTTCGCACTGTGAAACCGCCACTAGTGATTAGTTCGAGTAGTTATTACTTATTTGGTGTTTAGTGTTAAGTCATTAATGGCTCTGGCAGTTCCCCGACTTCTCCTTAACTACAAACAGGAAAAGTTACATTAAATTTAATCGGAAGGGCACAATAACAACCGAACGGGGCTAAAACTAAATTACAGCTTTAAGAATAGAAGATTAGGCATATTTACCAATGAAATATCCTTTGCTTATATTACCTAGATAATACCCTCGGCTATATTTAGTTATGGTTTCGAAGTAATTGTTTCATACGCTTTCTAGTACACGCACAATCCGTTTAATAAATCACTGCCTTGATCTCAATCACTCCCAATGGATTACAAAGTGTAATTTTAACTTAATATTGAAATTTCTACTCCTTTCAGACTTCGGTAAATCATGAGCTTTATTCATCATGGTGTTTTAGAATATAAAATTTTATTGAATACAAAACATTTTTACTTGATGAAAATATGGAAACCGTAATACCAAAGTTATATGCAATGCAAGAAGCGATGGTATTAAAATGAATGGCATGACACAGGCAGGTTATAAATGTCAGTGCCGATTGCCAAGCCATTCTATTGGCATGCTGAATCAAAACATTGCAATTGGTGAATTGGACTGTGTTACAGCTCGTCGATTGATACCGCAATGTCTTAGACACAAATTAACTGTATGATCGATACTGAATAATATAAGTAACGATCTCGTTTCAGACAATGTTGCATGCTCTTTGATTAATTAAATCTCGAGCCATTGAATCTAGCGTTTTATAATGTTTTGCTGTATTGAATAACTGCATTTAGTCACGATATGGGCCAGTGAAGTTCAAAATGGAAACAGAAATGTTAACGCTTTATTGGTTAATCGATGTTGACTGTACTTACTCAACAACACAAACGTGGTATTCAAAACACATTACGTACGAGATGACTATGTCGAGATTAAACATAACATTAGATCATCTTAAACATTTGTAGTTGTAGACTTGTAGTGTCATCGAAGATAACCTTTACCGCGGTTAAATAATTGTATCTCACCTAAATTATTCTAAACAGTGACAGTTGAATTATAATGGTAATGGGCACTTCCTTGCTTCCATCCATAGTATAATAATGTATTGTACCGTGGCTGCATCTGCATTCGAAAGGCGTCCGGCATACAACTGAACAAGGATTGACATCACCAGTTACAATAACATACTTACGTCACTCTCTGAATAGACGTAGAAAAGAATCTATGATATCTATACTGCGCTAATGAATAACTTCATTAATTTCGAGCTACGCTAATTTAGTAATTTGTATTGAAGATTTAGTAATCGTCAATACGAAATAATGATGAATCGTAAATACGAAATGATCATCAGAAAAAGCACCATGATTTGTATAAATATTGCCATGGACATTTACTGTGTATATTGTTACAAAAGCGTTAAAGAAATGTTAAAATTGTCCTTTTTTTATTAATAACAAATGACTTGAATGACTCAAGCCGGGACACACAATAGTCAAACAAGATTGTTTTTTCCTTGTCTAAATAAAAGCAAACATAACTTGAAAATATAACACTAACAAATCGGTCGTGACGTGAGAGAGAACAACCAGTACGGTAAGTTAATTTATTAATCGATTGTGTTTATCATAATTAAACAAAGTTAAAGTTTTACAGAAACAATCGGTATTTTTATAATCATGAATTAGGTGGTTCATGCCTATTAAGTGCTTGTCCAGTTTATGATAAATATAAGACATCTATTCCGCTTTATAGTACTTGATAAACTATCATACAATAGTCTAGCTAGTTCATTCATTTGAGCTATTTCTAGTGCAGAACGTCAAAACCGGTACATCCTGACAGAGATAAGATTATCCTGACAAC